CCCCAAAACCCCAAAACCCCAAAACCCCAAAACCCCAAGAAATCCTAAGATTTTGAAAGTATGAAAGATGTTTATAATATTAAATAAGATTAATGGAAGAAGAGAAGATTCTGAAGCATCAAGACATGCTGCAGTTGGAGAAGGCGCTTGACTATTGGATATTTTATTATTTCCAATTTAGAACATCAAATTTAAGCAATGGATTTACTGAACCGCATTGAATATTTATACGAAACAGAAGCATTTGTGAAAGAATTCCTAAAGATTTTTGAATCAACGTATCTGAATATTATACAACAAAGAGAAATAATTATCCTCATCCAACAAACCCAGCCCTTGTTTTTGATAATGTAACAGCCTTTAACCAAAGAGCAATTGTGAAGTTTCTTGAAACATGAAGACCAACTATAATAGAAAGTATCTTATTTACAGCAAAGCAAGGCTTCAATTTACTGAACCCAAAACTTTTGATGCCTTGCCTCATGAGATTTGCACCTTCATTGACAGGAACACTGAGCTTTGAAAATTATATTTTCTCAAACAAACAAATGAGTCTTCTACTAAACAGTGTTGGTCGTATTTTCATGATTAAATTCAAATAAATGAATGCTTCATACTGATAAACTTAGACACTTCTCTCATTCAAAGTCTCAACCAAGTGTTCTATGGATACATGAATGCTGTGATAAGTACCTAAGCAACTGGAAAGAACACCCTGAGAGACTTGAAGGGATTTTTAAGTTTATCTCACAACATTCTTCATTTGATAGGATTTCATCTGTTGATTTCATCTCTAAATATGAAGAGTGAAAATTTAATGCTTTAGCAAAATAAATATCCTTTTAAAAGTGGAGAGATAGTACTAAGAGATCACTTTATTTCAAACAGAGTTAAGATAGACTCCCCGATACAAAGAGAGAGAAGAGCAAGAGAAGAAAAGAAATCTAGAAAGAAGTTCAAAAATTGATCAATATTTTAAGAGATCGCAAATTCAATTGAGAACTATTTTTTTTCTACTAAAAGTCTAATACTTCTTTTTGTTCACGAATAAGGCTTTAGAAATAATGCTCTTAATAACTCACAAACCCATTTCATCCCTCATTTTCTCACATAAAATTAATTTTCCTCTACTGGCATAGTTAAAACCTCTCAACCAAGCTCTATATTCCACCAAAAATCACTTTCATTCCTGCTAAAGTACCAAATCCAACTATATTTAAGATTTGAGAACTGCTGCAGTGAATCTTTGAGCAATTGGCATGAGCATCCCGAAAGATTAGAAGCGATATTCAAATTTATATGAAACTCTCATCTTTCAAGTGGGATAAATTCACTATTATTTGTGTCCCAACTAGAAGCATCTATCTTTTAAACTTTAGCCTGGAAGTATCCTTTTGAGATGGTAAGAGTAGAAGTCCGAGCTTCATCTGATGCAAATGGAATTTGAATTCATTCTGATCAATATGAAGAAAGCCAATCGAGAATTGAGCATCAAGAGCAGAGCACTTGATGGAGTTGTTCAATATTTTAAGTTGTAATAATGTTTGTGAAGCAAAACATGTTAAAAACATGCACTTTGTATTACTGATAAATAAAAATATTTTGTCTCTGTACCAAACAAAATTATATTATGATTCAATTTGCTATAATTTATTTGGGGTTTTGGGGTTTTGGGGTTTTGGGG